TTCAAAGTATGCCTTTCCGGGATAAGGGACACGTTAAAAGCTCTCAGACTGGATGTAACGTTTGAAATCTCACGGGAAATAATAAAAGGGAAACTACAACAATTAGAGGACAGAATAGACACCTTACTACCACATGTGAGAAGGAAAAGAGGCCTAATCAACGGTTTGGGTACTATTCTGAAATCGATTTCGGGTAACTTAGACGACAACGACGGAAAAAATATCCTTGCGGAAATAAAAAACTTAAGGGACACTTCCGACTTTTTAAAGAAAGAGCAGGAGAACCAGGCAAATTTTGACAAACAAGTTATCATTAGATTCAACAACATTACGGACCATATTAACAAGGAACAGGTTAAACTACAATCCTTCTTAGACTCAACACAAAATGCCATTTTTAAAGAACTTCGGGAAGATAGGGAAAACATCTACACCCTTCAATACATTAACCGAATAAACTACAACATTGATACTCTGACGGAACACATTAACAACATTGCTGAAAGTCTTTTGGCCAGCAAGCTAGGCTTAATCCCAAAACTTTTGTTTAATAAACAACAAATAGACACCATAAGAAATATGTTAAACACACAAAATATTAATATTCTATTAGACGAACACATTTATAACATTCTTACTCCATCTTGCTACACTTTCAATACCAAATTATTATTTAGCGTTAAGATACCAATTTTTAACATACAAATGTATAACTTCACCCACATAATACCCTTATCCCTAAACAATTCACACTTCATCATATCCCCTGAATTCGTGGCCCACGACAACAACACCCTATACCAATTCCATGAAAGCTGCCTTAAGGTAGAACAAGAATTTTTCTGCCCAAAAACCCACACAAAACCGCCAACACAAAACAGCGGTTGTTTATCGGATATCATCAACAACGCCAAAGAAACAAAATGCGATGTAATAGACGCTGGTGATAAGTTGGACATATTTGAAGCAGAGAAAGGATTCATTTTCATCTTCAACGGGAAAAACCTTACCATCAAATCAACGTGCTACGAAGACACTTGCTTAAACGGCTCGTTCCTAATACGGTACACAAACTGCACCGTGTGGATAAACGACATAGAATACAGCGACCAGGAACTAGTAGAGAACGATCATTTCACTTTCATACTTCCACCACTCGTCAAGATAACTAGAAACCAAACAATAAAACCATTGTCATTGGAGAAATTACATGTGGAAGCCATGTCAACAGCTGGAAGAATCGCCAACATGAACGTGATAACACACTACAAATTCACGGCCATGTATTCAGCAATCCTAATAATCCTTATCCTCATTACCACCCTTCGACTTTGCCACAAAACAAAGACCATTTTCTTACCGCAACCACCCACTGTACCTACCTTTGTGGAGCCGACCATCCCTCCGTTATGGCCCTCTCTCCATTCTCGGGGGGGAGGAGTTACCGCACACATTGTTGCGGCCACATCGCCGCCCCCCAAACCCCAGCGACTTGGATGAATGGTCATCAACCTGGACTGGGGACATAAACGCTGAGTTGGAATCCGAGCGGAAGCGAAACCAATCGCTAAAACGGCAAAAGCTTCGTGAAACCACCAATACAGCAGATTCTCGCTCCGACTCCAATCTGCCTACTTTGCACTTCCCATCCCATTCCATTCCATTCATTCCCTTAGATACATTATATACATTCTTTATTCCATAAGACACTTGAGAGTTTAGAGCACAATAAAGATTCATTATATTTTTGACTGCACAAAAGGAAGGTTCTTATTATTATAATCGGGAGAAATCACTAAGAGACTCTGGAAATATCCATCGGACCCACTGGACTGGACTGGATTGGACACAGTATACATCCTCTATACTGTAATTCGCGCGCGCATTTAATTCAAATTATATTCATTATGTCGCCGATCCATATTCTTATGTCGCTAATTGCTCCTATTTTATTATATTTCCTACTATTACGATATATTGTGCGCGTACAAGCGTCACACTCCCCCCCGTTTGGGAGGCGGTGTGCTACCACACCGTAAGATCTTTTCCCCGGTCGAATACGCTTCTCCAGTTCGGGGTCCTGTCCATCGTTCCGTCTTTGTGCCGTTGCTTCCTGCGTTTCGCTCCTTGTTCTTTTCCCCGGGATGCCACTAGACCCGTCGCTCTCCGTTCGCTCCAGTCTTTCGCCGTTGCTTGTGTAATCGTGCCGTCTCCTTCCCACGATGCTCGTCCTGCCGTTGTTCTCGCGAAGTTGGCTACTTCCTGTACTGGCTCCTCTCCCTGGTCCACGTCCTTCTTCTCTACGTCCGCCCTCATCTGGTCCTCCAGCATTTCTTCTTCTTGATCCTCGTCTTCCTGCCCGTGCGGCTGTTCTTCCACTTGCTCTGCCATCCTTCCTATCTCGCCTGCTAGCGCCGTGGTGCTTCCACCTTCCTCTTGCCTCGATTCCTCTTCCAGGTCTTATTGGATCCCCATGTCGGATTCCTCTAATTCCTCGGTGACCTCCTTCCTAACGGCTGCCCGAATGCACACCTCGGCCTCTCCACCTTCCAGTGTATTCCATTGGTCAGGAACCACCTGGCTTGTGTGCCCTGATCGGTTCCATGCCGTCTCACAGCATCCGATGGTTTTGGGGTCCCTTTTAACAGGCCCACCGTCGGACTCTCTGCAGATCTCTTGGTCGAGTCTGTGCTGTGGTTGATCGAAACTTTCTGCTTCGATCATCTCAACTACCTCTGCCAGTTTGAGGAACTCGGGAAGTGTTTTGAACCCCGACCTCCTCGTGTATAGTTTTATCTGGCTTCGGCAATTCAGGTATATGCGGTTCAATTTTTCCTCCGCCGTATACTCCGCAAACCTCATCATTTGCATCAGCTCCATTGCGAACCCTCTCGTTGGTTCGGTCTCTCCTTGCCTCCGATGCTGGATCTGCTCCTTGAGTTGCTCCTGATACCTCCGCGGCAAGAAGTACGCCACCAGCTCTCCCGTGACCTTCTCCCAACTGTCAAGCTTGTTTGGTGTGCAGTTCCACCAATCGCTCGCCGCGTCTTCCAGGATGAACGGCATGGTTTGCACCAACTGGTCGTGCCCGATGCCGTATCCCGTCGCCCAACCTTCCAGCTTCCTTATAAATTCCAGCGGGTTGGTCATTCCATCGTACGTTATTCCCCAGCTCCGTACTTGATCCAGAATTTCCACGTTTATCCTCCTCTCCATGATTGTATCTCCAGCTTTGCGTCCGTCTAGCTCCTACAATCCTTGACCGTTTCCTTGTGGTCGTTGCTCTGACTCACGGTCTTGCTGCCTCTCTCTTAAATCTGCCTGCTAGCCATTACTCTTGGTGTCGATCTCTTGCAACCACTTCAACCTGTTCGGGCGCCAATCTGTAACGTCCTGTCGTCCACGGGTAGTCAGCGGGACGTCCAGGGTCTGTGCAGATATATTTATTTGGTTCAGGCGTGGTTGCTGTAAGAGATTCCGTCCCCGTCCCAGAGTAGAACGCTAGAGGATTATGCCGTAAATGTATCTTAATGTTTATTTACGTAAAAGGTACAATAATAATAATTCAATAATTTCATGCCGGATCTCGATTCTGGGGTACGCCGTAGTTCCGATTCGTCCTCGTCCCGAGTACGGCTGTCCGATAGGGGAATGCCGATAGTCCCGCCAGGGTATGGGCCTTTAAAGCCACCCAATAGCGAATGCGTTCGGACTCGAAAGTCAACCACGAGAGAATGCGTTCGGACTCGAAAGTCGACCGAACCCAGTAGTTGTCGGACTCGACAGTCAGCTCAGCGCCGTTTGTTGGACTCGAAAGTCAGCAGATTCGGACTCGAAAGTCAGCTCGAAGACGTTTGGACTCGAAAGTCAGCAGAGACGGTTGGACTCGAAAGTCTGCAGATTCGGACTCGAAAGTCAGCAGAGACGGTTGGACTCGAAAGTCGGCAGTGTTTCGGACTCGAAAGTCAGCAGATTCGGACTCGAAAGTCAGCTCGAAAGTCCGCAGATTCGGACTCGAAAGTCAGCAGAGACGTTTGGACTCGAAAGTCAGCAGAGAGACTTGGACTCGCAAGTCAGCAGAGAGAAGTGGACTCGAAAGTCGGCAGTGTTTTGGACTCGAAAGTCGTCAGAGATTGGACTCGCAAGTCAGCAGAGACGGTTGGACTCGAAAGTCGGCAGTGTTTCGGACTCGAAAGTCAGCAGATTCGGACTCGAAAGTCAGCTCGAAAGTCCGCAGATTCGGACTCGAAAGTCAGCAGAGACGTTTGGACTCGAAAGTCAGCAGAGAGACTTGGACTCGCAAGTCAGCAGAGAGAAGTGGACTCGAAAGTCGGCAGTGTTTTGGACTCGCAAGTCAGCAGAGATCCTAACTACAATTTATAAATAGGAACCAGAGTTCCCAAAAAGTGACTTCGCTGCAAACTACTGGGGAGGTTAACTCGACCCAATCGCAGTCGGCTGCTAAGTGATTACTCCAGGGCCGTGGTCCGCTTTATATAGGCCCTGGCGCGACTTCAGTGTGGCCAGAGTCCTGTGCGGGATTTGCCCGAATAGTGTGGCCAGTCGTTCGGTCTAGTGTGACCCTCCGCTCGCGATCAGTGGCGCGCGCGCGCATTTAATTCAAATTATATTCATTATGTCGCCGATCCATATTCTTATGTCGCTAATTGCTCCTATTTTATTATATTTCCTACTATTACGATATATTGTGCGCGTACAAGCGTCACAACATAAAACAAAGGTATAACTTGGCCATTTCAGTGCCAACTATATTAAATACACCATTGGCAGTAAAAACTGAAGACGAGCCAGCACCATCAGATTCACCAGCTCTTGAGCCGGATGAAATAAATGACCCAGTCTCTGCAGATACCGAAATAGAGGAAAAAGATATAAACAACCTCACGGTACCTGCAGTCCTTATTCAATCTGAACCATCAGATCAGGACCTAACAGACTCTACCGATAACGACAGCATTGTAGAAACAAAACCTACCACAATGGCTGACGAAACGATTGCCCAACGGGCATACATTAAAGAAATTTCGAGTGCCATACCCGAATTCAACGGCCAAAAATTACATCTACAACGATTTGTAACGGCCTTGAAGTTAGTTAACCTAACGAAGGGAACATTCGAACACATAGCTGTAGAAGTGATCAAATCCAAAATTGTTGGATCAACACTATACAGAGTTCAAGATGAAACGACCATACTTGCGATAATCAAGAAGTTGCAAGACACCATAGTCGGTGAAACATCCGACGTAATAAAGGCGAAAATGGTCAAAACCATCCAGAAAGGCAAAACTGCCGAAAAGTTTACCACTGACATAGATAATTTACGTAAGCTCCTCGAAGCTTCGTATATTGATGAAGGCCTCTCAGCCGAACACGCTGACAAATTCAGCACGAAGGAAGCCATCGCCACAATGGTTAAAAATTGTGAGCATGGCCGACTTAAGACAATATTGGAAGCTGGTAACTTCACAACCATGAATGAAGCCGTCACCAAGTACATACAATGTAGTACCGAAATGACGGGTAATGCCAACGCCATATTGTACACACAGAGAGGTAACAACTATCGCGGTAATAATTACAGAAATAATTATCGCGGTAGGGGTAATAACCGAGGTAACTACCGAAATAATGGCTATTACCAGAATAACCAAAATAACGGTTATAACCGCAGCTATAATAATAATAACAATAATTATTATAGAGGAAACAACCGTGGCGGAAACAACCGCAGCGGGAATAACAGCAAAGCAATGTCCGAGTAGCCCAAGGCACATCGGAAAACTCGCAAACCCCTTTAAATATTAAAAATTAGACGAAGCTAGAATTCACACAGTTAATCTCAGCCAAAATGTATTTGTTCCATTTTTCAATGTAGCTACTGGGAAACACCTTACCTTTTTAATAGATACGGGTGCAGACATTTCAATTTTAAAAGAAACTTCGGATAACTTCCAAAACATTCAATACGATTACATAATAGACATAAAAGGCATAAGTCAAGAAATAACTAAATCTCAAGGTTTAGTTTCAATTGAAATACAAACAACTAAATACATAATTCCACACGATTTTCATATCGTAGATTCACACTTCCCTATTCCATGCGATGGAATATTAGGAATTGACTTTATTAAAAAATACAACTGTCAATTTGACTTCAAGCCATCTGAAGACTGGCTTATAATTAGACCCAATAATTTGAAATTCCCAATTAATATACCAATAACTTACAGTTCTGGCAACAATTCAATACTTCTGCCAGCAAGATCCCAAGTTATTCGGAAAATTGAACTTAATTCAAAAGAAGACAGTGTATTAATTCCAAATCAGGAAATTCAGCATGGTATTTACGTTGCGAATACCATAGCAACATCCCAAAATGCCTTCATAAGATTAATTAATACAACAAATACAAACCAAATAGTAAGTACAGATAATCTAACATGTGAACCACTTTCGAACTACGATGTAGTCAACACAAATCCAGACAATAGAGAAAAATCTGTACTATCGCAACTTTCAAAAAACTTCCCTCCACAATTCAAGTCACAGCTTTCCAACTTATGCACTCAGTATAGCGATATATTCGGATTGGAAACCGAATCAATAACAACGAACAATTTTTATAAACAAAAACTGAGATTAAAAGATGATGAGCCAGTCTATATAAAGAACTATCGAAGCCCTCATAGTCAGGTTGATGAAATTCAAAAGCAAGTCGGAAAATTAATCTCCGACGGGATTGTCGAACCATCTGTTTCTGAATATAATAGCCCTCTGTTACTTGTTCCTAAGAAATCATCCCCAGGGTCCAATTTAAAGAAATGGCGATTGGTAGTTGACTATCGTCAGATTAATAAAAAATTACTATCTGATAAATTCCCATTACCTAGAATTGATGATATTTTGGATCAACTAGGTCGAGCTAAATACTTTTCATGCCTTGACTTAATGTCAGGATTCCATCAAATTGAACTAGAAAAAGGTTCAAGAGATATAACGTCTTTTTCAACGAGCAATGGCTCATATCGCTTCACGCGATTACCTTTCGGATTGAAAATAGCTCCAAATTCGTTTCAGAGAATGATGACTATTGCATTCTCTGGACTAGAACCTTCTCAAGCATTCCTTTACATGGATGACTTAATAGTAATAGGTTGTTCCGAAAAACATATGCTTAAGAACTTAACAGATGTTTTTGAGAAATGCAGGAAATACAACCTTTTGTAGGTCATAAATGCACAGATAAAGGAATACTTCCAGATGACAAGAAATATGACGTCACCAAGAATTACCCAGTCCCGCACGACGCGGACAGTGCTAGACGTTTCGTCGCGTTCTGTAACTATTACAGACGTTTTATAAAAAATTTCGCCGACTATTCACGGCACATAACAAGATTATGTAAAAAGAATGTTCCTTTTAAATGGACAGATGATTGTGAAGATGCATTTCAGTATCTAAAAACAAAACTTATGGAACTTACCTTGTTACAATATCCAGATTTCACAAAAGAATTTTGCATAATAACAGATGCAAGTAAGCAAGCATGTGGAGCGGTTTTAACTCAAAACCATGATGGTCTCCAACTTCCCATTGCATACGCATCAAGAGCATTCACTAAAGGTGAAAGTAACAAGTGTACTACTGAGCAGGAATTATCTGCAATTCATTGGGCAATATTACATTTTCGACCGTATATTTATGGAAAACATTTCGTAATTAAAACGAATCACAGACCCCTTACATATTTATTTTCAATGACTAATCCAAGCTCTAAACTTACACGTTTGAGGCTCGAACTAGAAGAATACGACTTTACAGTCGAGTATTTAAAGGGAAAAGACAATTATGTAGCTGATGCGTTATCGAGGATAACCATCAAGGAATTACAAAATATCACTGGATCTATACATAAAGTCACTACTAGAAATCAAAGTAGACAGAAATCCTGCGCAGGAAATCGACAAACAGAATTGCCTAGGCAATCTGAAGAAAAAGCTTCAAAGCCCAACGTATATGAAGTCATTAATAATGACGAAGTACGTAAAGTAGTGACCTTGCATGTAAATAATAACATGTGTTTATTCAAATACGGAAAGAAAATTACAGCAAGTTATGATGTTAGCGATTTGTATACTAATGGAACCTTTGACCTAGGTCAATTCTTCCAAAGGCTTGAAAAGCAGGCCGGTATTAACAAAATCAGCCAACTCAAGGTGGCACCGTGGGAAAATATCTTTGAACTAGTTTCAATTGATAATTTTAAGATAATGGGCAATAAAACATTGAAATTATTGAGAGTAGCGCTACTCAACCCGGTGACCAAAATAAACAATAAACAATAAAAAAGAACAAGAAGCTATACTGTCTACATTCCATGATGATCCAATCCAAGGAGGTCACACAGGCATTACAAAAACCTTGGCCAAGGTCCAGAGACATTACTACTGGAAAAATATGTCCAAAGACATAAAAGAGTACATAAGGAAATGTCCAAAATGCCAAAAGTCCAAAACGACTAAAAATACCAAGACCCCGCTAACAATAACAGAAACTCCGCAAAGAGCTTTCGATAGGGTAATTGTGGATACAATAGGTCCACTACCAAAATCTAATAATGGAAATGAATACGCAGTAACATTAATATGCTATTTGACTAAGTATTTGGTAGCAATACCCATACATAATAAAAGTGCAAACACAGTACCGAAAGCTATATTCGAAAATTTTATTCTCAAGTACGGTCCAATGAAGACGTTCATTACGGACATGGGAACGGAATATAAAAATTCGATAATTGAAGACTTATGTAAATACTTAAATATCAAAAACATAACTTCTACTGCACACCATCACCAGACCGTCGGAACAGTGGAACGAAGCTACAGAACACTTAACGAGTTCATACGCTCATATATCTCGGTCGATAAAACATATATTGTTTCAATACAACTCCCTCTATGGCACATGATTATTGTCCATATGAGTTAGTTTTTGGTAAATCTTCAAATTTGCCAAAACACTTTAATAGCATAGATAGAATAGACCCATTATATAATATAGAAGACTATGCTAAGGAATCTAAATTTAGATTGGAGCAGGCATACAAGAGAGCTAGAATATTAATAAACAAAAACAAAAACATAGGTACGACAAAAATAGTTTAGACTTTGAATTAAAAATAGGAGGTTTTATTAAAAAATGAAACTGGTCATAAGTTAGACTTTAAATATACAGGTCCGTATAAGGTAGAATCAATAGGAGTTAACGATAACATAACCATAACAAATATTAGAAATAAAACACAAGTAGTTCACAAGGATAGATTAAAACCATTTATTTCATAACCAATTTAGTTCTTTTTATATTTCACGTATGGCCATACATAGCATAAATACTATTAAAATCATAATACATAAGATAACCAAAAAATTAAAAAAAAAAATTTGTACAAAAAAAAAAAAAAATGTACAAAAAATTCAAAAAAAATTTTATATATACATATATATAGTGACATATTCACATATTCAACTTTATTCAAATAAATAAAAATATGCAGCGTAGGCGATCCCACGCTGAACACCTGCAAGCAATCTACATCCAGGGCAAGCGATGCCGCTCTTCTATAACAAAACAATAATTCTTAGAATCACTAAGTGCCCTCCATGGATGGCACTCATACTATTAAATTACTGTATATATTCAACATCCCAAGCGGGCAATCTCGTTCCCACATTATGTACAACCAATATCCCAAAATCTCTTTGTAAACAAAGAGCACCTCAAGAAATATTTTTGTAACAAGAAATTAGTCTTAAGCTGAGATCAAATCAATAAACACCTAAACCTAAACTTGTGTGTGAATTTATTCTTCTTAGCGTTGTTCTTAGTCAACTGACGGGACATTAGTTCGACTCAATTAATAAACATTTTACTGGCGCAGTCGGTAGGATACAAAAAGTATCCGAAAAAAAGAACCTCGAGTGAAAAATAAATTAAATTTTATAATTTAGTTCTCGAATAAAATTACGCTACAAACCTTTCAACTTGGATTATAATTCCAATTCGGTTGTCCAACAAAGTGGAAGAAATAAAAATAAAATAAGACAACAATAAGTCCAAAGGCAACTAACAGTTAAGAATAAAATAAAAAATAATTAAGTGAAACAAGCGCTAAAATTTTTTTTTAGTGAAATCAAAATAAAAATAAAACCAAATTTTTATTTTACTGTAACAACAAAATTACAATTATACAATAATGGCACAACCAATTATTGCCGCACCCCAAGTCGTGGTGCTAAACGACACCAACCTTGCTGAAGCTCGTCGGCAGCTAAAAGACATCATGCCATTTAAGGGTGATCCAGAAATCCTCTACACTTTCATCAGCAGAGTGGACTATGTAATTTCGCTCTACCAAACTACTGATTTGCGACAACAGAGAATTCTACTTGGAGCCATTGAAAGGAACTTGGACGGACATGTAACCCGATCATTGGGCCTTCCGAATATCGAAGATTGGCCTACCCTTAGATCGAGACTAGTTGCAGAATTTAAACCCCAAACACCGAATTACAAACTACTGGAGAACTTCAGGGAGACACCTTACAAAGGAAACCTGAGAGCATTCTGCGAAGAAGCTGAGAGACGACGACAACTACTGATTTCCAAATTGCATCTGGAAGGTAACGAACCAGATTTTCTTATCTATGTTCAGGCTATTAAAGATTCCATTAAAATACTGATCAGAAAATTACCA